TTTGCATTGCTACTGATGTCTCACAACGTTCTGTTAAAAAAAAAAGCTCAAACCTAAAAGCCCATTGACAAAGCACGTTTTCAACAAAATCAAGTTCTCACTGCCAGCCTATTTCTTGTTGATACTCTTATAATGGGGACGGTGGTAAAGTCCGCCTTCTGCTTGGACTTACCTGGATATCCGGCGCCATTGAGGAACCAATCACTGTCCTCCAAACTGGCATTGTGGGACGTCAGTACAATCACATACTGCAAATCACGCCACGTCATGTTGGAACTGGTGCAAAAAAAACACATGCACTTTAAAGAGGGTCATATTTTCATTTCGCACTTCGTAGTAGCATGAACTGCTCGGAAGAGATTTTCAACGGTTAGTGAATTCTTCTTTTGCTTTTGTACTGGCAGTAAGCCGTACTTCATCAGCCGCTGGTAGGCTAAAAATAGAGAGGTGACACCATTGTGATCTGGCCATGGGCTCTTTTGAGGTGTACCTGCAACATGTTTGTCTTTGTTCTGCTCATGACTATGGAAATGCTCATTGGTATAAAAACATAAAAGGCAGCAAAATGCCCTTACCAATAGTGCAACAAATATTGAAAATAAGGTTAACTGACACAAACAGGTGCACTTTGGAGGTTGGCAGTTCAACAATTCCATTGTTGCTACCCAAGTAAGACAGGCCATGGCCCACAGACAGCTTCAAGACCAGGGCCCAATTTCACAGTGCTGCTTACCATTAAGACCTCCAAAGTGCAACTTTTCTGCTAACCACTGCACAAAAAAATGTACTTAATGGCCAGCATATTTCACAGTTGCTGTGCTTAGCACAAAAACTGCACGGGCGCACATGGAGAATTCCAGTGCTAAGTCACTGAGCTAAGCAAAGTTTCCCTCTAAGGTAAGTGTGCCTTCCACTGTGCTTTAATAGCTTAAATTTGTGTGCTTAGCAATGCCGTGAAACTAGGCCCTGTGACTGTGACCTGCCTTGGGTTTTATAGTTTCATGCTGTTGGGCCAGTGCAGTGACATCAAGGCTAATACACACACATGATTCGAAGGCAAACATGTACACAAAACTGTGACGTCAGATGAAATATATGTGTTGCAAAGAGGCAAAACTTGAACACTTTTCAACTTGAGCAACTTTTATTGGGAAAACGTTTTGTGATGTTGAGTTTGCTTCGCTGTCACGTTAGGCACGATGTAAAAAAGATTTCAATCAGCACGCGGTTAGCCACTACAGCACCCCACGGCGCATTTTTCTGAGTCACCTGTCCACCCTTTACATGTGGCGCAGCGCAGCGCCGAGACCAGTCTCCAGCTCATTAACTATCCCTATTGTGCGTTGGCTATTGTTATGTTAATGAGCAGCATGAATAGGGAATTTCCTCTCTCATACAAGGCTCGCCGCGGCGTGCCAATGTCCATTGTTAATTTCAGTCACAGAGCGAGTCCTATGGAAGTGAGCCCCGAGTTCCAAGCAAGGGATAGCGGGACTGGTAACCAGAAAAGTGTCTGTGTCTTTGAAATTGAAGCAGATCAAAAGATCAGATTGAATTTCACGATCTGAGTACAGTCATTTCCGTACATCCAGGGCCCAATTTCATGGCGCTGCTTACCGCAGAATTCCACACTTCCGATCTCCATTCTGCGCTAACCACGCTAGCTGAAAATTAATTCTGTGCTAACCCATTAAGCACAGAATCCTTGGTTGCAGGATGTACGCATTCCCAAAATTCCTCGCTAACCCGTGAAATACGTTCGCCGTGAGCACAGAATTTTCTGCTACAGTAAGTGCTGATTTTTTGCTTGCGGTAAGCAGCGCCATGAAATTGGGCCCGGATCTGAAATTTATTCAGTCTGCTTTGAGCTCAAATAGACCTCAAATCCCAGTGCAATGTGGTTAGCAAAACTATTTCCAAAATATAAATTTTTAATTTGGACGGAGAATCGATGACATTAAGGACACTATTTCAAACAAGTATGCTACAGAGATTGACAACTGACTGACAGTAAGGAATGTATATTTCTGCAAGGTTATGGGGCCAGTTGCGTTTTTTAGTAGCTGCATCTTTTGATAGACAAGGCTTGTCTCTGCATTTATTTTATCTATAAACCTGGATCATGTGTGTTTATTTTTTTCCCGCCCCACCGCGCAACGATATCAGGCATGCAACCCAACAAAATATTCCTTCCTGAAACAGCATTTATTTATACTTGGATAACGCGTGATTTAAATTTTTCAACCTGCCAAAAATATTAATCCTCCCCATCTCAGTATTTCTTTATCCAAACCTGGATCACGCATGGGTTTTTTTTCCCTGCCCCACCATGTACTGATTATTTTTATTCCGCACATTCAATACAACAAATATATTAATCCTCCCCATCTCAGCATAAATTTCTTTATCTAAACCTGGATCATGCATGGTTTTATTTTTCCCGCCCCACCGCGTACTGATTATTTTTATTCCGGGCATTTATTCTGCCAAACATATTAACCCTCCTGGAAAATATTGAGTCTTGTGAAACATTTCTTGAGTCTGTGAAAATAATTTAAAAACGGGGATAATTGTGGGATGAGAAAATATTCCGAGCCCGGGGATAATTATTTTGAGTCCAATTAAAATATTGAGTCGGGCAACCAATATTTTGAATCTAGGAGAGAAATATTCTGAACTCCGGGAAAAATATTCTTCAGGCCAGGAAAACTATTCCGAGTCCTGAGAAAAAATTATTGGGAGTCTGGTGAAACATTTCTTTAAGTCCGAAAAAAAATATCTGTGGCCGGAATACAACTAATGGGGAGGAGAGAATATACATGTTCAAGTATTGAGCTCTGTAAACATTCTTGAGTGCTGGTATAAAATATTCTGAATCTTGAAAAAGTATTCTGAGTCCAATGAAAGCTCTCAGTCTTCAGGACAATATTGATATTCCGATGAAACATACATTCTGATGCAGGAAAAAATATCTGTGGGGCGGAAAGAAATATTCCGAGGGCTGAAAATTTGTTAAGATATTCCTGGGTCCAAGATATAATATTTTGAGTCTTTGGACAATACTCTGAGTAGGAGAAAAGCTATTCTGAGTTTCTGAAAGTGTGAGAAAACATTCCAAGGCTAGAAAGAAAATCGAGCACGGGAAAAATTCAGAGGCCGAGGAATTAATTTCAGCATGGCCAAAACTAATACCCAATGAATATATATGAAATGTGCTTACTTGGCTTGGAGGGCGAGGGCACAGAGTCCAGCAGCCAGGGGAGCAGAGGCCGAGGTTCCTGTGTGTTCGTCCGTGCACCTCCCTTCCAAATCTGTTGTGATCTGTCACAGAGAAATACACACAAAGGTACTGGGGTGATATCTCTGGTTACATAGGGGTTTTAATTTGTCCTTTGCGTGAGGCTTAACGGGCCCAAGCAATAAAATTTCTCAAGCGGCACGTCGCCGAATGAAATTCTTCTCAATATTGCAGGAATGTGAAACATTATTTTTTTTAAATAATCCCTGCATAAATCCTCGTCACCACTTCTTCTAATTGGAGAACAAACAGTCCTCTCATATCAACGTCCACCATTTCACAAAACAGATTCGTGTCCAAAGCACAGCCACTGCATGCGCGCACTGGTAGCAGGCCCACTGTGCAATGTTAGCCAGGTTCCCGTCTCCACATTTTTTCCCTTTTTCTTACTGGGAATGAAATACATGAATTTGGGGGCGGGAAACTGTCAAGTGAGATGAACAATCTATTCAACGGGTTCTACTGAGTAACACGAATAACTCAATGACACATGATCAACATCACACCAATCAGATGATGCAGATAAGCGCAGGAATTGCATAAACAACAACTACCAGTAATCGTCAGTAAGGATCAACTTATCGTAGTTGTAACCGCCGATCAGATGTCTAACATTTTAATCTGAACATCAGCGATGTCCAACCCAATCTGATATTTTTTCCAACATTCACAGTGTCCTTGAAAATGTAGGCCTACTCCTAATACCCCAAAAGTAGTGTATTCCCTTAAAAGCTTCAGTTTACACATGAATAGGATTAGTTTTTTGCCTTTATTGTCACCGTGTTGAGAGAACAAATTGAGTACATTGATACCGATAGCACTCTGTTGTATTCACACCCAATTCACGCGGTGCACACATAGCTGGTTCACGTACAGTGAGCAGACTATCATCAGATTGGTTGCACACCTCTTGGTGCCATACGTGGTGTAGTTCCCTGGCTCTATTCATGGCACTCAATGGAAATGGTTCAAATGTATGCTGACTGCTCCGTGGGGCTGTGGTCTGTGTGTTGACTTGTTGCGGTACGGATCGCACGCAAATGTAATTTTCGTGGACACATTACGTGGGGACTTTTCAGGACAACGTTTTCCCCAGGATTTTCAAAGACCGTGAGAACCCCAAACTTGCACAATAACTCAAAACTGACCACTTTCTTCTCCTTTGAGCTGCCGCTGCTGTAGGTGGTGGCCAGCGTGGATGCACATTCCTCCAGGTACCAGGGGGCTTGGCCTCTCTCTGACGTGCTGCTGACTGAGATGGTGTAGATGCTGTTGGTGTAACCGTCGCAGCCGCAGTCGTCCCTGGCCTGACCGCCGTTGCCCGACGCCCAGACAAAAATACTGCCCTTGCCATTTCGACCCTGTATGGCACAGCAGTTGTCAACAAAGAATGGTTGACTGACCAACTGACTAAATTTACAAACTTTTGTCCTTTCTATGAAAATCGGAACATTCTAATTTTTTGCAGTCTGGAAACTCCACGATCAGAACAGTTCTGAATCTGGATGGTTGGCAGGTAGGTGACTGGCTAGCTGGCTGAATGACTGATCGGCAGATTCAGCCAACAATTAAAGCAAAACTGTGAACTTGCATAAATAATTAACAGTACAAAAAAACTGAAACAAACAAGCAAACAATTACGAATGATTACAGTGGTTGGAGCACCTACAAACATTTTACAGCCTTTTGTGACAGTGTAACATTCAGTTAAAAATTTAAATTAACAGTCTAGTAACTGTAATGGCCGACAGATTGGAATCACGGTTGTTTTAATTCACCCAATCATCCAGAATCCAAATGTTTCATTTTGAAATCAAATATTTGCAAAGAGAAATCAATGAAAGAAAAAAGGGTAAAATTCAATAATGTGGTTAAAGACCTGCATTCTAAAAGCACATTTCAAAGGTGTGATGAACAAACCTGGAGGCTGCTGAATACACATTCCCAACAAAGCAGCCAAAAAATAACTTTTTCCATCAAGTTTTCTCTTTTCACCTGCAAAAAAATGTCCCTTTTTGTTTCTGCCTCTGCGGAGACTAGGTACAACTGCAAAGTTGAATATTCAATCAACTGGCAAGTTGATATGTTAAAATATTCAATTATTCACATTGACTCAGCCATACTCTGCGGCAGATACAATGCAAAATGAATACAAATAGTTGAAAGCATTACCGTGTTGATGCCCTCCTGAAAGGCCGCCTTTGCAAGACGTCCTGGTCCATCGACGGTCTCCCCATTATCTTCAGGTCCCCAACTGGCACTGTAGATGTCAATGTGATCACGATGTGCTGACAATGATGTACCCTCCACCATGTCTGTTACGTCGCCATCGAGCATTCTTATCCCTGTATGTGTTGCAAATTATTGAAAGACTGTGCTATAATGTCTCTGTAAATATACTTTTTTACTCAATTGCTGGTTAAGGGTTTTCTGAAACATTAACATCACAAAATTCTGCACAGCTTACATTCACGAATTGAAGAAACAAGACAACTGGGCTCGAACTTCAGGAGTAAAAAACAGTTCAAAGACCTATCTGGGCCATTTCCCCACCTCTTAAGTTTTACACTGGTTGTCCTGTTTCAATCATTTCATCAGTTGGAGGTCTCGGAATCTCTACCCAATTAATGTGCCAGTTAGAAAAGAGCATCTGTCACTGACCAATGCAGCCCAGCAGGCAAGCATTTATCTCAACTACCATCAGCATGAAACAACGGAGGGCACTGGGTGGGATGCATGTCCATCGCAGGTCGTTCTACCCCACTTCACAACCGTCCCATTTATAACTCCTGGGCGGCGGGGGCAGGGTAAAATGGCTCGCCCAGGGACACAGTATCAGGGGTAAGATTTGAGAATACTGAAAACTGGGGGGGGGGTAAAGGAGGAATACGCCAATTAAGATGTTGATCTGCCCGATGAAATCAGTGGTCGCAATATGTTTTCTTCCCCTTTGCCATTTCTTTGGCCACCTGACTCATGAGTCATGAAGATTTCCACAGATTTTTTAGGCCTTTATCTACAGAAAGATCTCCACCGCGATCAATTACTTTCTGAGCCATTTTAATCAATCAAAGAGCCAATCCATCAACCGCACGCGGGAAAACAAATGGCACCTGAAAAGTTTTCTGCAAACAAAAAACAAAATGCTGTGTATTTTTCCACCCATGAACAGCTTCAATAAAATGCCCCGGTTACAGCAGAGTCACAAATAGCTTTAACGAGAAACCGTTCAAGCGTCATAAGTAACCCATCACCAATAACCCACCTCCAATACTTGCGTTGTAGGCCACTCCCACACCACATATCTTGTTACCAGCCTCCATAGCTACCTCTCCAGCACATCTCGTACCATGTCTGGGGGAAAAAAAATATGTCAATGACTATATCACCAATATGACCAAGCTGTACTCTCTGCAGTACCTCTAAGAAAGCTCGTTGTAATATCGTCTCGGATCTGTACTGGACAGCCAAAAAGGACTACACGTACGTCCTGAGAAAAAAAGGAATTTCTTTGACAGGGAACAACATATTTCTTAGCCTATTAAACTGCAATGAGAGAGTGTCATCAAAACGTCTTCTATCAATCAAAAAGACCATTGGAACATTATCGGTAAAAGTGGGAGGGCCAGAAAGATGTTCAGAATAATCATACAAAACAAATAACACTGCAAAGAGTGAAATGAGACACAAAAGCAAAACAATGTGAATCAAAATAGAGACATACCACAGAGCATAAAGACAAGTAATGTAACTGGCTCGAAGGGCGTCCGTGTTGGAAAGTACTCAAATCACTCAAACGTCAATAGTCAACCAACACCAGGGAATCCAACACCTTACACACGCACACCTCAATCAATGAACCTCAATCAACTTCCTTATAAATTCAACTCTCCTTCAAGACACTCTAAGGTTTCCAAGTGCATGCGCAGCCTACCTGTTCGACTGGTCATAGTTAGCCCGTGGCATGGGGTCGCTGTCCATGGAATTGTAATCCCCGCTAGCAAATGGATCCTACAGGCAGAAGAAAAGAGAAATTGGGGGTTCCAAAAATGGCACCATAAACAGACTCTACCTGGGCTTTTGTCTATTCATTTGGGCATTGCGATTCTCCATTTTTGACATTATTACAAATGTTTGGCCAAAAAAGCTGCTATACAGAACAAGTTTTCGTGTAGGGCTGCCAACGAAGTGTTCCAGAGACTGCACTGAAAATATTCAACCAAGAAATGGCTAAGTAATTATGGTGTGGACGTGACAAAAACAAATGGTTAATTGCTGCTGCAAGTCGTTCATTAAAAGTGTGTAGTTGAATACATTATCATATTATCAAAACAAACTGGATAGGCCGACTGAATACTGTAGGTGCTTCCATACTTATTATTAAGATGAGCACAGAAATTGGTTGGAATGGAACTGACTGGAACCAGCAACCTCCACAGCGCTGACCCTGTGTAACCACTGGCACTAGGGAGCCCGGCACCAGGGAGCCTGGTACTGGAGATGTGGGCTTTATACGCATGGCTGGTGTGTCCCAAATCAGACAAAAGGATTTGGGACTTGTAACAAAGGACCGGACTCGGAGCAAAAGCTCTTGGGTATTGCCAAAAATTTGTACAGGGTGCTGGCATTTTTTTGAAGTACATGTACATGTAATCCGTCATTGTTTCGAAACATTAGACCACTGTTTATGGCATTCAGTGCCTGTGGATTATCACCGGGACAAAAGTGCTCCAGCGATGAGCAACACAGTACCTCTGCACGCTAATCTGGCCGCACTTGTAAAAACACCACTGCCATTCCGTAACGCACTGAGCCAATTTTGGGAACAAAGGAAATTACACAACACCGCACAATTCTGGGGTCTCTTTACTGGGCGGCAGGCCCCGCTGCAATACCCGGGCGTCAATGGAGGTTGCCTGTTAGAGTAGCCACCAGACAGTCATTCGTGTGGGTGTAAGCATCCAGTAAATGAGGTTATGAATTTTTGAAGAATTTTGAAGACGGAAAAATTATGGAAAATTGACCGGCAAGTCATCCCGTATGTGCAAACTCCACCCTGCAGGGAGTGGTCAATATTGACCCAGCGTTTGTCCGTGGTTTCTTCATTCCAAACCTCCTTCCAGTAGAATAAAATATTAATGTGGAAATTCGGACATTTTGAATCAGTTGAAACACCTCCGGCCATTTGCCACCTCTAACCTTTTTGGCTGGTGCAAAATCGTTCTCTATGGCGGTAGCCCAAGCGGACCGAGTAACTTACATAGTTCTTGGCCAGATCTGGGTGGGTGTAATCGATGCCATCGTCTAGTATGGTAACCACCACCCCTTTCCCGGTGTAGCCCATATCCCACGCTGCCTCCAAGTTCATGTTGGGTGCATTCTGGCGGTTCTGAAGAGACAAGATTGTGCATCATGGATGACAGTCCCAAAAGTTCATCATCAGGTAGGGCTTTTCCGAATATCCGATCCATTAGCAAATATTTGAATATTATTTTCTGACTTTGAATATTCAAATACAAAATTCATAAAAAGAAGGGAGAATTTTCTTTTGGTTTAAATGAGAATAATTGCACTATGGGGGCTTGTTTCAAGCAGATTCACATGAAAAGCAACAGATTCAAAAATGACAATTCAAAAAGTAAATTATGGTATATTCATTAAAAATTTTTTAAAAGGGATAGAAATTTACAACAGGACAAGAAGTATTGTTCGTTTCTAAATCTTGCTAAATCGTGGCTGGAGATACTCCTAGCTCTTTTTACAATCGTGTATGTTATTGCAACTGAGTTTGTATAAGGTTTGTTCAACAATCTGCCCGTCGGTATGGCCAAATATTTGGATATTTGATCAAATTGAAGGTTGAATATTCATATAGTGAATCATTCAAATTGACTCAGCCCTATCATCTGGGCAAGGGTACAAACATAACCAATCTCGTCCCTGTCTTGGAGATGAGTTGTACAAGCCCCGCAGTCAGTGGTACCTGCTCTCATCCACGTTCTCGATCATTTAGGATACACCTATTTACCAGTACAAGTCAGGCATGTAACTTGGACTTTGTCACAAAACCCTTGAAATTCCAATCTTTACAAGACTTTGTACAGTGTTTTTCAATTTCCAATGGCGTGAGTGTGAAGCGAAAAAACAGGAAATCAGCTGATCCGAGGAAAAGCTGCATGCCTGACAAGTAAAGCCGTAGGGTGCAGTTCAAAAGTGCCGGTACGCATAAGACTATGCTGCATACATGTACCTGCAGTGGCTGTAACCTGTCCCCACAGTGTTAATCATGTTCCTATGATACATGTATGTACAGGTACTGATCACGTGCTATTCATGAGGAATGGTCTGCTGCCTGACTGCGCTTTTCACCAGCATTCATTTTAGCACGTGGAGTCAGGTATAAAAAACAGACTCGATTCTTCATGGTGTGATGTTCTGGAAAATGTAACTTTGGAATGGTAAATGTTAAAATCTAATCCAGGCAGTATGCAGCATCATAGGTGCACATGTAATTTTACATGTAGACTGTACACAATCAAATAGAATGTTTAAAAGGGAAAGTGGACAACATTCGCAGCAAACCTGCAGACAAGTAATGCACGTTGAAATTATAAACATGAAAAAAAAACCTGATATTCTTTTCCCATTCGGTTTCCTGCTTTATCAAACTTTTTGACAGTCAAATGAATCAAAATCCTCCCTCTTGATGCGCAGTGATGAATGCGAAATGTTGACTTGCTCACTGCTGCATTGTCTGGATTGGGGATTGACATAATAAATACATAATAGTCTTATATGCTCCCAAACATACCATGTACCACTGCCGATCATACTTGGGGTCGTTCCAATGAATGTCGCGTTTCACTCGCTTGCGGATCTTCTGCTGCTCAATCCACTTCACCTGAACAAGGACAATAGTAGAGATGGGATAGACTCAGTGTAAGCACTGTACATGTACATGTACGCATCCATGGCATTTATTAGGGCTGTGACAGCACCCTTAAATCAGCGATACCCAACCAAATATGGCAGGGATAGTCGAACCTAATTTATTAAGAGGTCCTTTGGACTAGACAAATTACTGTGTCATAAGAGGAACCTTGGTTTTATTAGGAATGCCAAAAATGCACAACAAAGGTTTGGGGCCTAAAACTTTCCTTGTTACAAGCAAAACGTTGTATTAAGAGTACTCTTATTAATGAGGTTCAACTGTAGGCCCCTACATGTATGGATAAGAAGTGATGGCTCTATCCCATTCAGAAATGCTCTCTCTTATAGATTGATTTTACAAATAAACTTTGGGTGCTTTAAAAAAAAAAACACATTTATTCGAGGGTGTGTCATTGAGTAATTTATTTCTGCGTGGAGACTGTAATGGAGCCTCGGGAAGGTAGAAATAATAGGAAGAGATCAAACTTGCATACACTGAAACCATATTTAACCAAACAATGGGTTGGGTTAAGTTTTACCTGAAAAAATAGTGGGAATACATTTTCGTCCCTTCGGGGACTCATCAGCCGCTTGATTCAAAAAGGAATAAAAAAGAGTGCAGGTATGGTGTAATGAGTTGAATGGCGCTCACTTGACAGAAAATTACATGTAATTGCCGTCTCTCTGGGTATGATATTTCTGCACAATTGGTTTGAATGGATTTGTTAATTCAAAAGTGAAAGGAGAATGGTTCCATTTTTTGTTACAGTTTCATTATCATTATCCAAAATAAATGATATCGGCAAGTTGCAAATGACCTTTCTGAAACCAGTGCAACTCTTCCAAATTTCCACACTGGGTTACTGATATGAATGAAACAAACATAACTTTCAAATGCAAGGAAAGTCTTCCTTGGAGACAAGGCTATGTGGTGACCACTCATGAGTTGGCACTGCTCACTTCCACTGATAATTTGGGTTAATTTCACTCTGCCGTGTGTGAAAGGGTGGGCTTGAATGGTATTTCATGATGACCGAATAGTGGCGTAAGTTTTTTTCAATACCGAACAATACCCAACTGATGATCCATAAATACCAAATTTCCAGCAAACTCAGTATGGAAACTGCAGTAATCTTGCTGTGTTTGTTTTGTTTGCAAAAACCCTATAAAGGAAAACAACCGTACCATATCGTCAGATTTCATTCCATTCTTGGTGGTTCGAATTATCAAGTGTTGTGTCTGCATTATCACTTACTCTCAATCAGAGGAGAGAAAAAACGTACAAGTATGCTTATTGTCCAGTTTGACTTGGAAACATGAAACTTATGCAGCGACCAACCCACTACCCAAAGCCTTTGAAGTTTTATTATCACTAACCTGTTTGCAGTTTTGTTGTAGCTGTTAATGCCTGAATGAAAGTCCTAAACAATGTTATTACGGCGGTGTGTTTTGTCATTGTCATATCCTAAGAACTTGAAGTTCTACCATTTCCATTTCAGTGTGCTGGAATATTGCATCATCCTTGCTTCAAATATTTAGCAACTTTAATCTTCAGTTTTTGTAATTCTATCACACAAATAACATTTCTGTGAACATAAACAAATTGAAAAATGATAATACATGTACTTCTTAATTTCAGGGAATTTGCCACATTGACAGCAACCTCCAAGCTGGCTCACAGTTGTCTGCATTCTCAATGAATATTGACTTATCGCAAGCAATTTCTAAAATCTATACTCTCACTAACAATGTAAGTCACTGACACTGATCCAGTGATCTGGGAATGTTGATAACCCTGAACTAGATGTACAAATGTACATGTATCATTAACGGGTTGTACGGCTTTGAATGAAAAACTGACAAGTTCATTTGAAGTTTTAAACAGTGCAATGAGCTTAAAGAGCATGCTCGGTTTGTCTTCATGTACATGTACACATGTATATGACCCGCTACGTGAAAACGAGTCATGACATCATTTTCTCTGTAATTTTGTTTGAGTTTGCATTAGGCTGATAACAAGAATCAAAAACAGCACAATGTGTTGCGTTAGAATAGCACATTAGGGGGATTTGATGCCAACCGTGAAATACAGTTACATATCTTACTGTTTGTTGCCACGGTTCAACCAATCAGAATTGAGAATTCAAGTTTGCTTGAAGATAAATAAAGGTATCACAAACACATGTAAAAGTAGCTGGACACAGTATTGCCTTTCATCACTTGAAGGTGCTGCGGACCTCTGAAGAACCCGGCGAAACAGGCCCTTAAACTGCACGGTACACGGTCCGACCTTGCAGGGCACCAGCGACACTGCATGTTCGGAGGATCATTGGCGTTCTCTCTTCTCTTGCTCACATGCTAATGCCGTTCTGTTGTAGCACTTTTAAATGTTGTTTTCTTTTTCCTTTCCGGCTCTCATAATATCCACTCTTTACTGTCTGATCAAGTGTCTTTAGCTATTAGAATTTCTACCACATGGCTAAGCGACCTTTTTGCTACTGGCATAAAGGGCACTAGCGTATGCCATACATGCCATTAATTCTACAACAACATATGTCAAAGTACATGTACGTGTACAGCGTGTACTGTGTTTGTGGGATTACTTACAGCAGACTCATGTTGAATTGCTGTGTGGTCTCCTGTGCTGGGTCTGATGGATCGTTTTTGAGTTCCTTGATGGTGGAAGACATAGTGATCTGGAAAATTCTCCAGCTGTGAAAATCAAACAAAACTGAATTAAATACTAACTATAACCGACAAAATAAAAGTTAAAACTAACAGAGTTACAGGTCAACCAAAAGTGTCCACAAAAATGTCACATATGTCATTTAGCATGATGGGGGGGGACATCCCAATTTTGAAGTTTTTCTTAGATATCTCAGTACTTTGTGGAGACACAAGGAAGTAAATGTCTGGTTTTATGCAAAACGCATCTCCTCTATCATGTGCAAATATAATGTCATGATCATTATATTGATACGGGGGAAGTTTTCCACTTTTGGGGAAGAAGTTTGGTGGGTGTTTTTACTTACAGGTAAGTCATGGAATAAAATTGCCCATTCCAAAATACAGTCTTAAACAAATACATGTATTAAAATTTACCAAAATGTTTCATTCATTTATCATTATGTAGTTAACTTTTCTTCTTATTCATCACTGAAGAATAAATAAACCTCCCGTTTTATATAATATACCGCAGCTAAACCCTTGATGGTCATTGTTAAAATTTTCCACAGTTTGTCAACAGCACCTCCATACCCTTAAACTAATCAATGAATTTCACTTCTTTAATTATGTTATTGAGTTTTATGTGCTTAGTACATGGGAAGGTTGACCCTTGCTATCCACTCCGAGCAGGAACAAGAGGGCACATTTTGAAATGAAATTGACAGTCCTTTGGTACACATTCACTGCATAGGTGCACAAGTTTATGTGCGTTTGATGAGGAGCATGCCGAGTACGCGCAACGAATTTAGTCTGGAATGTATGGGCTTTGTGTGCACGCTGAACAAGTGCAAGAACCCGGTTGGAAAACTTAGTACCATGTGTCTTTCTTTCGCCAGCGAGGGTGCACTTGAGCTCAGGGTGGATTGTTCAAATGAACTCTGTCCAATGACAGCTCGACAAAACTTTCCTTAAATTTGCCCTTCCCAGCACCCTGTGGGGCAACGGATGACGAGTGAAATTACACAGTCAGCCTATTTGTACTACATGCCCTGTGCCTTCTACAATGCAAAGCAAAATTTCGATTTGGTTTGTTGGTAAAACGTTCCAGTTGTTGAAATACAGGCCTACTGGTACAATAACAGTGTTCAAGTTAAACAAATAAGGGATTAAAAGTTGAGATGAAATTAAATTCAACAGTTCAAACAAAACAATCTGTCTTATTTGTTTGTTCAGAAGGGATTCAGCACAGACGCTGTACATGCAGGCCTAACTGTAGCCTAGGCCCAAGTTGATAAAAGCTAGCAAGAATGGCAATGCTTGCAACTGTAGTGTACATGTACACTGTATGTAAGTCATTGTGGTTAGCCTCACCTCTCCGAGATTGTTGAAACCGTAACTTGCAGCCAAGTGATCTGCAACTTCTGGTCCTCCCTCAATGTTGGCTACAAACTCGTTGGTGAAAGTGGAAAGTACACACGTCGTTCCGATGTGGAACAGAAGTAACACGGAAGTTATCAAACGGCAATTCATGGTCTGCATCCGGTCGAGATTAAGGAGATCTCACCAACCATGCACCAACCAAACCAAAAGTTGTCAAAAACGTCACCTGACTTTGCCTTCGGAAGAGTTGCAAAATCTTGTTAAGAACTACAGAAAATTGAAGAAATCCCACCTTGCCAATAACAAGACTATCTATGTCAAAGCAAAATCATGTTTAAGACCATTTATTTCAAGTTTTGCGATGCGAAATTACATATTTCTAGCTCTATGAACGTTACTGTTCACAACGACTTCGAGCCTTAGTGCGCGCATGTCTTATTGCATGCACGGTACATGCACACAAGAAGTATGTACGTAATGGGCCTAGCTGTGTCGAAACCGCAACGCAACCAGACCGTGTACCCCTCAAACAAAACTTTACGGTATCGCTGGTTTTCTGTTGGAACTCCGTTGGGTTATATTGTTTGACGGGGTACCAAGCTTGTAAAACAAAAAAGTTTTGGAAAGGTTTTCCAAATTTCGAATCTACGTTGGCTTTCTCCTTGCTATAAAAAGACCTTTTCACTTCCTTGTAGGACAAAGGTTTTCGAATTGGCATCAATTTCTCAGTCAGAAAATCAAAAATTCAAAGTTTCTGTTTTAACCCTAACAGTCCCAAATCCTCCAGTTTCAATATGATTTTACATACACCCTAGGGGGTTAGGGTTAATGCAACATTTTGCATTGACATAAAGACTGAAAGTTAAGGGCAAATGTGATCCTGGTAAATCTCATGAAATGAAGCCACTTTTTGGAAAACACGAGGTATCTACGAACGTTTGGGGTGGTCGGCATCGTGGTCCATGTACATACCGTCCAATCAATTACCGTTTGAAAATTGTATAAAGGAAAAACAAAAACGAATCTTTTATTGCTTACTATTTTTTCTTACATTTAAGGAAAACGTCACCTTTTTTAAAAGGAAAATAATTGAAAATAAAAGAAAGGGAAAGTGAAATACATGATTAAAAAAATTAAAGGGAATAGAAAAGTTACTACGTGTCTTGAAAAAATAACTATTTTCGTTTTGGTCTTCCCCTCTATTTTACTGGGACTAACAACTGCAACTCCCCCCAACATCAATGTCAGCTCCTAGTCGCGATGAGTACTTTGCATGTATACTCGATACTCTCAGACTTCCCGTCGAAAAAGTGCAAAGGCATTTCCAGTAAAAGGGGCAAGTTCCGCTGAGATTTTGGCGGTCTGCATTTTTTCCTTTACAAAATTAACGGACAAATACAGCTAAAATAAGTGGAAACCTTTCAATCGGAGAAACTCCCATCCTGGCGACGCCCATGCAAGGCAGTCTAACATAGGCCTGTCTAGCCCAGGAATAAGTTTATCTCCCAACATTGAAGTACGCATGTGCACGGACCCATCATAAAGTGCGCCACCGTACACCAACGACAGCATGGGTGGGGGAGTGAGGGTAGGGCCTTTTGGGTGAAACCCATTTTCTCCAATTATCCAAGAAGTGGCAAAACGTCTATTTGAATATGTTGAACCCTCCCCCCTTCAAAAAATCCGGAAAACTGAAAAAAAAACCGAGTTATCAGAGAATCTCCGATCAGTCCTACAACAGTCAGCTCACGTTATTTGACAGGAATTCAAATCAGGGCAGCTGTGGGGAAGTCAAATAAAATCAGTATTACACCAGACCCTCTCCTTTACTGGTCTGACAGAAAAAAATACACCAGACCCCCTCCTTTACTGGTCAGACAGAAAAAATAACTTATAAGGAAATAAACACCTGCCATATGACAGCTACAATCAATTTCTCCACAGGAGTACCGGTGCCAAGTTTTTATTTGTTGTCATTCAGTTGGAGGTAGCAATCTTTCTGAGGACTTTACAACATGTACACATGCAGCAACTTGGTATGATTTTGCAAAATGGTTAACGAACAGAGCTCTTTTGAAAGACCTATCACTATATGGAAGTTCATATTCAACATCACATCAAGTCAGATCAGCAATGCGAAGACTAAAGATCTCTTCCTGAGGACCTGCAAGTGCAGAGGTTTGACATCATTTCCAAATGGTAGAAAACTGAGAAATCTTTCCAAGGACCTGCTTGTGCAAAGTGTTGTGCATCACATATGGCCGAGTGAAGAGTTCTTTCTGAGGAGCTACAAGTGCAAAGCGTTGACATCGTCACAAGGTACAGGAAGTGCAGATCCCTCCGAGGACCAAGATGTGTACGTGTATCGAGATTTTCTTTTCTGGCTGAGGTGATTGGAACACTTGATTTCATGAGAAACATAATCAAGACAAAGATACATTTTTAGTTTGTGAACTTTGCCTGTGGGTTCTCATGAAGCGCTCTCACCTTCATTTCATTTTATGACACCGGAACAGATTTGTTTTAACGATGTAACAGTGTCTAGGCACTTAAATCCCTACAAATATGACTTCTGGACTGTACATTACATCACTTTGAAGAGACTAATAAGTAATTACACTCTCCAAAGTGTGTTGGTGAATAATTGAAAACCTGGATGTACATGTAATACAAGATGGCTTCATCCAATGACTTTTTCCCAAATCTGAAAACTGCTGAAATTTATCATTTTCAAATGTACATGTACTGTATATGGTGAACACAATGATAACACTGATATGTAAAACTAAGACTGAAAACCAATTTTAAAGGGTCTGCTAATTATTTAGAAACAAATAGCTCCAAGTACCTCATGGTACATTTGTTTAGTAAGAAACTTACGAAGTGTAATTTATTGTAAAAGAAAGTAGGCACATCTCCAAGTATCAATATCAAGAAATTTGGAGGATTTCGGAGGATTGAGGGAGAATCCAAGTTTTTCACCCCCCAAATTGGATTATTCTGGAGGACTGAGGAGGGTCCCTAGCAAAAAGGGCCTAGGGGGTTAAGGGTTAAAGACACAATGGTGAAAATTTGGTTCCATCCAAAACAATGAACGGGCCATTATGCAGAAAGTGACTCTCTGTATAAATCTACAGATATGGGTAATGAAACACTGCATCTGGTTAGTAGGACCAGCAAATCAGTGCATGCTGGGCGCTATTGGTCGATCTGCATGATTCATCAATCTCATCACACAATTGGTCGATACTTCCGCCATCAGTAGATCACCTTTTCGGCATAACCCATGGTAAAGGAAAGTAAAGTTGGAGACTTGCTGCAGAATCGATTAAATGACTGTGTGATCAGGCAATAGGACAAATCAATCGATCACACCCAATATACACATGTACACGTACTGTACATGTACTTGCAAAGTACTACCCAAGAACTCAAAAATCAGTAAATTCAAAATGCAAATAAAACTGTAATCAACATATTACTTTACCCAAACAAAATTTTGATAACTACATGCACATGAATATAATTTTGTTCACGAGTTAGAATGCAGATAACACAAGTTTACAAACCTCACTTTATGGTCAAATCAAAACTTCATCAAGGAGAACAACTTTTCCAAAGTACATAACTATCACTTTCACTGATCAGAAGTGCTCAATACAGAGAATATCTAGTCACGGGTCATGTGGATGAAATTAGAGAGACCTTGTCTGCCACTGGGCATTATAGGCATGCCAGATACGGATAGGTCATGTGACATCATACTCCACTCACCAGAAGCTGCTTGCACAAGGTACAGATACATGTACATGTACCTTGCTTGTCGCACGTCCGTGTAGCACTCGTTTATGCACCGACAGAGTGACCAATAACGATTATATATATGGCACAAGGTATGCATACTTCACTGCTGACAAGACCTCTCTATTCTCACCTGAATGACGTGACTGAGACAAAAATTAAAATTGGCTGATACATTTCTTCAGTTGCTGCTCCCCTTATGCATGTAAAACCAATCTTGTTTTTTGGGCCTGACGCTCTTCTCTCTCGGTGAGTTACTCCCCCTGGATCGGGGACTCTGCACCGACGAGGGCTTTTCTGCATCCCGAGGAGGTGACCAGTGCGATCCTGGTAGGCTGGATGAGTTTCTGGGGATTTCCACAAAGAGCATCTCGTCGAATCCCACGGGCCGTGACAACGACCTCCTCTCGTGAGCCACGTGACGGACCGACTTGACCCCGACGTTGGATGAGCTCAAGGCAACCTGTGGAGGTATTAACGTGGAGCCTTCCTGACTCGTGGAATCGTTGCTCCTCGGGGGAATGTTTGTATTCTGGCTTCCTGGGATGTCCTCGACTTGGCAAGATTTCGCTAAACACTGCTGGAGGGTCTTCTCTTCATTGTAAAGCACCTTGTTGTTTGTCAACTGGGAGGTGTGAATGTTGAGCAACTCTTTGTTCTCCCTCTCCTTGCGGCGCACACTTTGCTCTGCGTTGGCGGGCACCTGAGACTCCTTGGTGCTTTCTATGCTCGGAGTCTTCTCCTGTTTCTCCTTTTGCAGCTTGTCGCCGATAGCCTTTTCCGGCAAGTCGCTGGAGAAGCCTTGCTCTTTGGCTGGTTGCTTCTCTCCATTCTCAGTTTCCAAACTCGATTTGAGAAAGGCATTTTTGTTGAATTTGGGGGGAAACGCTGAAATGTGTTTCTCCAAGGATTCGTCAGCGGCATCCTGGTCTGACTGGGCAGGGGTAACCTCCTGCTCCATGTCCTTTTCTGTTTTGCCGACTTCCGCCTCTGACTTCTCGCTGGACTCTCCGTCAGACTCGACGGTGCCTTTCTCCAGGACTTCGTCCGAGGTTTCCCTTCCTGTCACATTCTGCTCCCACTGGAGAAGCTTCCGTTCTTTTGTCTCCTCTTGGAACTTTTCGCTGGCTTCATTCCCGCTGTCAGTATTCTTGTCTAGGACAGAGAGCCCAAGCTCCTCAGGGGAAGTCTTGTCCGAGTCTAACTTCTCACAAAGCTCCTCTTCAGAATCCAGGTCTGAGTTGTCCCTGGAGGAGAAGTTAAGTAACTCTAGTTTCCGCTTGTAGTCGTCTTCTGAGTCATTCGCCGTCCACAACCGCAATGCGTTTGGCAGTAGCTGGTGCCCAGAGTCATACCCGGCCTGACTCTCAATGAAGATGATCTTCCGGAGCGTGACTGGGGAGAGATTGTCCACCTCACACTCCACTCTGAAGGGGTCTGCCTCTAGCGGTTCATCTGAGGCGCAGGAATACAGTTTCAGGTAGTGGTGGCTAATGGCCTCTTCTGCAGAGGCCCTTTCATTTGAGTCGAAGGTCAGCAGAGATTTCAGGAGATCCATTGCTGTAAAGTAAGAGAAGTAATATATGCGTAGGCTATTAAGTCACTTGAAAGATTCATTATCGAAGCCTCTATGGAATTCCAGAAAAACTTAAATGGACTTACCATCCAGTTCAACACTTGGAAGCACATCACACAGAGAAATGCGGGGGGTCCCTTTGTAATTTTTCAGCATCTTTCTGGGGATGGAGCCCTCCACTTCGACGAGGTCCACCTCATTGATGGGGATCATCTCCAGGATGAGAAGCATCTGGTCCAGGTCATGCTCGCCGGGGAAGAGCGGCTTACCGCCCAGCATCTCGGCGAAGATGCAGCCCGCCGACCACAGGTCAATGGCCTTGGTGTAGTCTGATGGGCAGAAGATGAGCTCGGGGGACCGGTACCAGCGGGTGGAGACGTTCTGTGTGAGATGACCCTGGTGTCAGCATAAAAACACCCCACAGATAATTGGTGATTTGGGATGGCTGTCCTTGAGTTTACATAGTGAACATGGTGAGAGTATGTGCATGTAACAGTAGAAATGGAATATTCATATTTACAATTGGATCATACACTTACATGTATATATACATGTAACAGTGTTAATACCTAACCATTTTAAACACTGGACAAAATTCAATCAGTTTTAGTGATAGATTTTATTACAAGTCTTCATTCACTGTATACCGGTACATGTACAACTGCTAGCCACAGGGCATCAACAATTTGAGGTTTAGGACGAAATGAAGAAAATTCACTGTTGCCACGTAGCACAATAAAAAATAAACTATGAGCAACTGAATATCAAAAGACTTGAAAAATGAAGTAAGTCACATAAATGTGTATTTTCATGGCAACAACATATCTTTTGAATGCTTGCAGTTGAAAGTCTGATTCTGTCAACACGATGCTATGAATGAATAACAGAAGTGAATTAAAAAGTAAGGCAATTATCACATTCAATTTCTCCAAACAATTACATTACCAATTCTGGCACTGGTGGCAAAACCTTAGCAGGATTGTAGACAATAACAGCAAGGTGGCTTACCGCTGGTGGAGAACACTGAATTGCCTGTATACAAGTCATTGTTACAGTTAAGAGAAGTACTGTAGTTGAGTCCTATCACAAGTCCCTTCACAAGACCAGTCATGAGTAACACGGTGAAAATGTTACAAACGAAATAATTTTGTTAGAGTTCATCTGAAGAGTTTGTGACTTGGCTTAAAACTATATGACTTGTGATGGACTCAACTACAAGGCTAGCTACGAGAAGGTTCAAGATTTACACGAGAGCGCACCTTGTGGGAGTAATCTGGGTCAAGAATTCGGGCCATCCCAAAATCCCCAATCTTAAGCACCAGATCTTCCAGATTAATCAGCAGGTTCTCCGGCTTGAGGTCGCGGTGGAGGACATTGGCGCTGTGAAGGTATTTGATGCCGCGGAGCAGCTGGTACATGAAGAGCCGGGCATGCTCGTTGGTGAGGGTGCCCCCGTTGATGATGTTCCGTAAGTCGGTGTCCAGTAACTCCTG